GACAGTACTATAGACGATGATAAATGATTTCATTTAGACTTATGCGGATCTCTGGCTTGTGGCCTTCCGGCGATAGTGTTCTCGCTGCCGGCCGGCCGTTCGCCAGTGCGGGTTCTTGCGAGAGGCGAGTCAAGAATGTTCCAGCGAGCCCTCTAGCCGATAGTGTAATCGTCGGGCTTTCTTCTTATCAGTATAGATAGTTCGAATAAAGAACAGAAACGGCGGGAGGTCGGATCCTCGCACTGATATCTCGAGTGTCCGCGCTTCTGAGGGATTTTCAACATACGAAAGGCATATCGTGGAGTTAGAGTCGGGCTCCGCAGTTGTCAAGTTATTGACAATACTACTTGAAAGGCTGGGTGCGTATAATACACTTCCTACGTCGCGCAAAGATCTGAGGGGGGGGGGGCGTGTGTCGGTTGTTTTAGACAAGGAGAAAGTTAATAGGAACGGTTGAGGGGCCTTCGGGGCATCTGAGCCCAAACCTGTTGACCGTGTTTCAAATGGTTTGCGTGGTTCGCGTAGTTTGTTTGAGCTACGTCGTTCAAGTAGAGACTTCAAACCGGTAATTACGGAATATCCTGATCCCGAAAGGACAGGATCACGATTATTAGGAGGAATGCCACATCATCTCCTTCCCTTACGCAAAAGCTTCCTTTAAGGTTTCTTCTGTGGATGTGAATGAGGATTCCTGCATCTCCATATCGGATATAGGGAATACTTCATCTGACTATGACGCGAACTGTAGTAAACTGGGTAAAAAACGAGGCCATAGGTCAAAGGCAGCACCGCTCGAGATTCTTGCTCGTACGTCCAGTACTAGACTAGATCTGAAAGATGATGAATTCGACAGAAGATTTCATGAAGAAAGAGTTCTTCTAAGGAAGAAGAGTTCTTCTAAGCGGACTTCGAAGAGACCGAAGCTCATCGCGCACACTCTTGACGACTCTTTATCGTCTATCCAAAAAACGATGATTGAGGAGATGATAGTTTTGTTCCCTGAAATGTTTCCTAAGAAAATTATGTCAGAGGCTTTCTGCTGTTTGGACTCCCTTAATAACACACAGAAGAAGACCACTTCAGAAGAGACCTTAGAAGAGACATGATTGTGGGTATGCAAGTGCTGGAAAAGCTCGTTCATGAGTCCGAAAAGGCTAGAGAGCCTGCAGATGCTGGCAATCAATGATTTTGGAACGTGAGGTGGTCAAACTGAGGCGCGAGATGGATAACATGAGGAAGTAAAACAAGGAACTAAGGGAAGAGATCTCCTGTTTGCGTGAGACTAATAGAAGATTGGTACCAAAGAGCTCTCTGCAGTGGCAGGTTTTTTAGAACTCTGACATGGATACTGCTTTGGTGTCTAGAGATAGGCGTTCCCGGCCTCCTTCGGGGAACTATTGCAAAGTTGAGGATGAGCTGGGACATCTAGTAATCTCCCCCTTGTTAGTCACAATTGCGCGCGAATGGTCATATTAGACTCAAATTGTCGTCGGCCAGGGCAATCCCTTTGGCGCCCCGACGACTGCAATGTTATAGATGTTTTGCCGTGGGGCATACCCATGGTGAAAGGTATAATATGATATGTGCAGTTGGACATGCAGTGTCTCTTTCTAAATCTGTGCCTTCTCCGTGTGTAAACTGTTCATAAGGAGAAAGCTCAATTGTGAAACGTTAAACATGGGACAGTATTCAGTCCGTTTTTATTTTAAAACTATCTTAAATATAGTATCTTAAGGTGTTAATATAATCCTCGGAATGACTTATGACATCTTAAGACTGTACTTAAGACAGTCTTAAAGACAAAGACAAGAATCGATTATGAATACCGGTCCGTTTCGCGTCGTGAAATTAGTACTGAATCTTTCCTTGTGCAAGATGGAGTCGGGTCTAATTTATGCCCACTCGAGAGAAATATTGGTAGACAGTTTTTCCCCAAATAGTGTCCTGGGAAATTGGATTTGTATCTTTTGGGTGCTATCTCTAAGGCATGGGCCCCTGCTCCTGAGGACCTGCCAGTGCATATGTACGCATGTTGAAGGATGTGCTTCGGGAAGTCTCTGACTTTAGTATGCCTAGGCGATCTTTTACCGACCGTCGATATATCAATGGAATAAGGAGTTCGCGGAGCTTCGATCTAAATGTAAGAAGTTCCCTAATGTCGAGTTCCCTGAAAGATGGAAACCATCAGGCTTGCCTTGTTGAAAAAGTCAAATAAGCTTGATATTGCCCCTTCTTCGTATAAGTCTATATGCCTGCATTACGAATCAGGCAAATTATTCGAGCGCGTCATCTGCAATAAATTGCACTTGGGCGCTACCGAATATTTTGGATAACCAATTTGGGTTTTGAAAACACCGTCTACTCGACGCCATTTAGCGTTTGAGAGAACGAGTGGAGGAAGGCATGCGGATGGGGAATATTGGCAGTGTCTTTAGACATAGCTAATGCTTTTAACTCGTTCCCGTGACCGGTTATCTGCAGTGTGCTAGAGGAGAAAGGTATTCAGAAGTATCTCCAATGTTTTGGGCATCGGTAATTGATAGCTACATGCTGGCTAGAGGCCTCTGACCCCGATGGATGAGCTGCGACGGATGAGATGCTCGGAAATCAGCCTGCATAGCTGGTAGAGCGTGGATAGTCGCTCGCTCCAACCATTGAGTTGTTTGTTAGGATCTACATCCCACGAGCGCACTGGGAGTCTCGGCATAGCTGTGACGAGCTGATCGGACGTATTCCAATGGGGGGCTATGTGAGTTAAGCTTAATTGCAGGTATCGTACATAAAACTCTTCTATCTTCTGTATTTCCGGTGCATTCTGGGGGACTGTCTATCTAATAGAAATTTGTCTTATCCTAGATCAGGAGAACCGTTTTGTATGCTAGATTATGACTCCATAGTGCGCTTGTTGGATATTTCATGATCTGTTATGCGGATGATACTTATTAGTAGTTAGAGGTTCCTCCTTTAAGAAGACCCGTATGCGAGAGGAGCTAGGGGCGACATTCTTGGTCCAGGCTTCGAGCGCTTGGGACTGAGGGTGTTAGTCTAAAAGACTGAGGTAGTTGCCTTCATGAGGAAGGATGTTCTGGAAATGACCCTTCGGGTGGAGAGGGGAAGGATGATGGTCTACCTTAAATACCTAGGTCTGACTTGAAGGCCTTCTGAGAGCACTTTCGCCTTCTTCTACCAAAAGCCTGAGGAATAGCTGTCGCTTTGAATAGGATCACGAGTAATATCGGAGGGCTTGGAGAACAGGTTGTCGGTACAGTATTCCCATTTGGATGCAGGAAGGACGACCGCGGCACATGCAAAAAAGTTGGTCAACTCCAGAGACGTCTTTTTTTGCGAGTGATCAAGGTATACAAAATCGTATTACATGAGACGGCGGCTATTCGATCTAGAATAATGTGTTTTAAATTCCAGGCTGACTGGTTTAGGCGCACTTATTTACATAGAAGCGCGATACTGAATAGGAACGGGGTGATAACGCCAAGAGCGCAGGCTCTCATAAGGGAGGTTGAGTGCGGGCGGCTCGCTGAGAGAAGATTCATACGATCTTCCCTCGAATGCACCAGGGAGAAAGCGATGCGTGATGCCTTCACGCCCATTTTGAGAGAGTAGCTGGGGAGAGCCCATGATGGCCTTACATACTGGGTCACCTCACGGATCATAGCTTTGAGCTCTATATTTACAAAATTAATAGAGCTGGATTTCCGATATGCGCGCATTGCAAGGCAGCTATTGATATAGCTAAATACACTCTTCTCTTCTATCCTCATGGACAAAAGAGAGGGAAGTCCTGTTCGAGATTTTTGACTTGGGATCTGTCAACAGGAGTTATTTGGATGTAGTGAAAGCCAGTTCTCGCTCTAAGTGGATTGCATTCATCTCATTTTACGAGTCCATGATGAGAAGCGAGAAGTTAGCGGAGAGGATTCGCTAAAATAAGGCTAGATGCTTCGCACGTCGTCTGGGGACTCGTTTCGATTCTGACTCAGCGTTAAGTCGTTTGTACATATTTTTGTATATAGTCTGTATATAAAATCTATTATAATTTACTTATTTAATTAATGTAAATTTGACATTTTTCCGAGTGTCGCGGAAGTTCTACTCCAAAGGGATAGCATGGGTGCATTTCCGGGAAGCATTTCCTGGATAAGCGATTCTGGAACGCTTCCTTATCCAGGCTGCAGTTGCAAATAAGGGAGAATTTTTTAGCAGGTAAATGATAACGATAGTATCTTTTGCGATGTACTAACTCGAAACCCGAATGTTTTCCTACCTAGGGATGATCTTTGTGTCATACCTGGGTGGTCAAATTCAAAGATTTTTCTCCTCGCAAACAAAGTACAAAAAAATTGTGAAAGTAATCATATGTACTTGCAATTATAACTGTAATTGAATTAAATATAATTGCGACTCTTTCAACAATTACTTTAATTGCAATTACAGTATAATTGGAATTGCAACGTAATTGTAACTACATTCCAAGAATGGATCTAGACACAGAGAAAACCCGCGAAACACACAACAGTTATATAGAAAGCACTTGTGGAAATTTCAAGAATATTATAAATAAAAAAATGTTTTATCTTTTTTCTTTTTTTTATTATAAAATAAACTCATGCAATTTTTATTTCAAATATTTTTTTCTATCTTACAGTTTCGATATTTGTTTCGAAAAAGAAAAAAAACAATCAATTTTTTTTTTCGAAGGGATGTTTCATCCTTTAAAAGTGAAAACGGTACGTATAAAAAAATACGTGTTGCTTATTTTTGTCTAAAAAATAACATACTAAAAGCTCATAAAAAGTCGAAGGATGATAGTTCGGTCCCTTTATTTATAAGTTTTCTAAGATCGTTATGTGACAACACAAATTTAGGAAATAAGGACTCTAAACGGTCAAGCTAGAGCTTTCTTTTAGCACTAAAAATCTAGCTTGACCGTTTAGAGTCCGCATTTTTTGTAAATTATAAATTAAAGAAAATGAAATACAAACCAAGCATCGTTTGCGTGTGAGTTGTCGTGGTTATTAATTCCGAAAATTCACGACGTTGCACCTCAATATCAAGCGCGTGTATACGTTCCCTGCTTCTTCGCAATTCTTTCCGCAGCTTCTCTCGCTCTTCTTCTCTCTCTTTTACAATCTCCTGCAATTTGTCAAAATTTAACTTAATTTTGAAAGAAACAAATATTGAAATATTTCTAAGGATAGAACTCTCATTATAATTATATTTTTTTAGCTTTTCATGTTCATATATACATATACACACATATATACACAGTGTTTGGAAAATGATGATAAATCTTTCGCATAGGGGCAGAATGGACTAAACTGAGAAGAAAAGTCTTCTACGTTGCAGTGCCTAGAAGTTGCAGCGTAGACAGTGTCCGCTTGGAATTTCTAATCCATAAAGACAATGGGGTGTGAGAATAATCTTTTTAGAGAGGTCTTTTTATTGTTTAAATTATTAGGCCCCAAGCGGGTAAGATACGTTTTTTTTGTTCGGGGTGGCGTAGCCAATAAGCCAACCAATAAGCACTAATCTATGCACCCCATCTACATTCTACACGACAAATTTTTTAACTTCACCAACTACAATTACAGAAGTCGTGCGCCCCTTTGCAGGAAGAGGAGGGGAGGACGAGAATTGCTTCGCGTGGAAGTCGAAACCCATGTGAAACAGTACAATTATAGACCTCATTTTGTCTTTGTGATAGATTTCCTAATCTCAATAGTTATCAATTTTAATATTATACTTAATATCTCGGCTCACAGGGCAGAGCGACGCTTTTTTTTGCCAGATTCTTTTTGCAAAAACGCGTTGAATAAGCCTAATTTTATTGATTTTTGAGGTGAGATAGCTAAACTGAATAATTATTTCACTATTATATCGTTGAGTTTTGTTGAGTCTAATGGCCGCAGCACAGACTCTTGCATAACGCATAAAACATGAGCATGATGATAAGAAAATCAACCAATCCAGAGTCCTTTATTTCATGGAAAGGAAGGAAATAAAGAATTTTGATTGGTTCATTTTCTTATATATGCGTTATGCAAGAGTCTGTGTTCCCCATCTAATAGTTTTGTGAGCAACTGTGTCGCATTTGTGAACGCGCAGCACGTGTTCATGTATATATTTTATATAATATTACAATAAATAAAGAAAAGTAACAAAAATGGGGTATGATACAAACGACTGAAATTTAATGCTAGCGTAGCATGGCAAACAGCGTACTGGTCTATCATGCCAGAGTAGGTTTGATCCCAATAGGAACCAAAATATTTACGTTCATGTCTCCTCTCGGAAAAGGTTGGCAATCTCCTGAAAGTACGCTCGCCCACAGAACCTCTTGAAAAATCCGCCGTTCGGAATTGGTATTAAAATTGTAGATCCCATATGTTTGTAGCATTTGAACAATCAACATGTGCATCACAAACATATGAGAGAGGTGCAAATAGGCCAGAGGCCTAACGTAAAAAGGAAAAGTAGAAAAATATTATAGCCTTGAAATTTCGTAAAAAATACACTGCTCAAAGAAATTAGAGGATCACTTTTTCTCACCAAATTTTTGTCAATTTTTAAAATGTAATTACTTATCGAATAATTGACATAAAAGAAAGATAAAAGAGTATTTTACAGAACAAACTCAGAGTGTTTTTGTTCAATTTTTACTCATTGTCAGTTTAATATTCAAAGACGTGGTTACTTTTTAATAAGAACGTATTTGAGATATATAAAATTTTGAAATTTATAGTCTTCCACCGACTAACAAAAAACTTGACGAACGTAATCATTAATACGTAATCGTCTCAAAGCATGGATTTAGCATTTTCAAATAAAAAAAATTTGTATTACACCGATTATTACGCGAGAAATAATTTAAAGTAACTCCTAATTTTTTATGATTTCGGCATGATCTTGCGTGCGTGCGTGCGTGCGTGCGTGCGTGCGTGCGTGTTTGCGCACACGCATTATGTATGCATGGTATGCGCGCACGCGCAAGTGTCATGTATGCGCACGCGCATGCACGCACATACATATGATGCATAAAGTTCAATTAGGTACTCGTGCGCATCGGATAATGCTAATGCCGGCGGTAGTTAAATAAAAATGCATAGATGATTTTAATACGCCCTATCTCTGCATCAAAAAATCAATCATTTTTTTTTAATTTGCAAGGAATAATTTATGATAATTAACATAACATTTGTAAAAAGAATTCATTCCACTCCACCAGGCTGCGTTTCACTTAACGCTCGCAACGCTCGCGAGCATCGTTTGTCCTTGTTTAACATTTGAACGACAAAGATGAAATAATTCCACGAACACAATTGGAGCGTAGTCAGAGTGTGTCAAACTATGCAATTTTTTTTTGGAGATATAACACTTTCTTACTTTAGAAAAGATTGTGAACAGAAATAAGAATGAATTCAAAATTTATGAAAATAATCTTAAAGTAGATTTTGCCCTTAAGAATGAAAAAACTTTTAAATATCCATTATATATATATATATATATTCACGGAGTTAGACTTACTTGACGTTATACAAAATTATGGTATAAATTTATGTTGCGATAATTTTGTTGACGAGTGTAGTTTATCCCGCAAAATCCTTTTCTAATTTTTATTTTTACGTTAACTATTCACTAAGTAATAGTTTAAAAATAAGCAAAAATTTATTGAGAAAAAGTAATCCCCTAATTTCTTTGAGCAATGTCATAATTCTAAGTAAAATAATTCTAATACAATAAATACAAACCGTTTGAAAATTTGTGCTAAAATCGTCAACCCTCAAGCTAATATCCTTCAATCTGGAATATTCTATAAATAAATAATGGCTATATTTACCAGGAGTTGTGACAGTTGTGAGAGTTGGGATGTTAGATAATAACAGATCGGCTGCAACATTCCCATGACTGATTGTTGAGGATGTGAATGATTTCGTAACGATGGACAACCAGTAGCTTCACACGCAGAAGATGATAATGTCGATGATCCACATGACGCAAATATTGTTTCCGTCTCACTTATATTCAATGAAGAATTCAGCATTCCCATCAGCTGATCAGCTACAGACAAGAGTAAAATATATGTGCGTCATATTATACATATATGTAAAGTTATTCCATAAATAAGCGAGAAATAAATTTTATCAATTTTTTGTGTAGTTATCGTAATATAAGTGTAACATCAACTGCTATTTTCTACAAAATTATGTAGGTGAGAAGAATAGGGTAAATCAGACCTATTTGCAGTTTTTGCTATTTATAAGACGTAAATAAAGTCTTTGTATTGTAAAACTGAAGGTGCCGTTGGAAAGTCATTTAATTCCCTTTATTTTTAGGCCATTTTGACATATCTCTCATCTGTATTGAACTATAATGAAAAATGTAAAAACGCTTTTACGGGTCTGATTTGAAACTATTGGTTTCAAATCGGATTATCCTCTGGTCCAAATCGGATATTATCCTATTTTTATGGACTTTTAAATAGAATTTTAAAATATTTTAATGAATTTTTGTTAGTATTGAAATCGTAAGTAAAAACGAACAATTTAACAAAGATAAAAATTTTATTCATAATTTTATTTATAAAAAAATTACAATTTATATTACAATATTTGAATTGAAATCAATAAAATAATCAATTAATCTGAGTCTGATGACTCATGATGACATATTTAATTCTTTGGACCAAATCTGGTCGGCCGATTATCAGTACTACCAGGCCTATAAGTTATCTATTATACTGTAGATCCGATTTGAACACCCAAATTTTTAACACCTTGTAAATAATGATTTACAAGGATTTTCTTTTTTAAAAAAATTTTCGTACGATGGCTGAAAATACATATTTGCATCTATTTTATGAATGTTATGACAAAAAACTGTCAAACTACTGTCACTGTTCGATGTTTTATGAGGATTTTACATTATAAATAGCATGCAAATCTGCTTACCGTATTCATTTAAATTAAAAAGGTCTATTTGGAACACGGTCCGATTTAGGCCACTCTTCCCTACAATTTATTATGTACAAAATATCTCTTCTCTTTTCATTTCTCTTCCAGATTAAATAAATAACAATTTTTAATACTCCAAAGCGTATACTCAATTCTTGAAAAAAGTAAAAATTTCTTTATTATTAATATTCTATTCAAATTTGCAAATATTCAAATACTTTTATATGCAAATTTAAAGTAAATTTGATTATTCAGAATTCTTAATATTCATTTTTTTATTTGTATAATCATAGAGTTAAATCAAGTTAAATCAATCACTTGTTTGAAATATTAGATTTGGAAAAAGTAGCAACTTCCTTAAAGTATCTTATATATAAAATATTTAGTTCCATTCTTATAAAAAAATATGATTAGAATTCGTAAACATATTAATTTATACTAAACAGAACATTAGCATTAAAATAAAATAAAATTTAGACTTAATTTGAGTAATAAGCTGAGTTAAGTTTTGCGATTATTGTATTGATCACATATTGTTCTTTGTATTGTAATTCTAAGAAGAGAATTAATAAATTAGTACTATACTACTATTACTACTACTGCTACTACTACTACTACTACTACTACTATTACTACTACTACTCCTTCCCTCCCTCCCCCTCTCTCTCCCCCTTCTCCTGAACAGAAAGTTACATTTCAAATAAAATAAAATGTATATAAAAATGAAAATAAATCTTATCTGGAAATTTAAAAATATCTCTTCAATGATTTTATTTTTATTTGGCAAAATTGTTGTATTTATAATAAATTATAATAAAATAATTACATGATTTTTTGCCAAAAATTTCTTTTGATTCAATATATTCAAATTTTTCTAAATAAAAGAAATTCCAAGAGAATTTCATAATTTCATAATTGTTACGAGTTCTACTTTTAAATCTTTTATATTTATTATTTATATAAACTTCTAGTTAACAATATATAAACAATAAATTTAAAAGATATGTAACAATTAGGGTTGCACCGGATATCCGGAAAATATTCGGTATGCGGCACTTTTGTTTTATCCAATCGAATAGCATTAGTATTCGGGAATATATTCGGTTAAAATTTAATATTATTAAAGTGTTAATTTTTTCTTATACAAGTGTTCTGAAATAAGTATGCTCATGAAGCTATAATATTTTATACATTGTTGCAAAATTACAATCTTTTTCTTTATAAAACAGGCTTCTTTTTTAGAAGACATTTTCTCGGAATCTGGTCGGATAATAGAAATTGCCTTCTCGGATATGTTACATTCTGTCCGGATATCCGATATCTGATATCTGGTAATTTTACGATCCAGTGCATTCCTAGTAACAATAAATATATTATTTATATGTATTTTTACTTTCGATAATATTATAACACAAGTTCAATATCATATAATGAACTTTATTAATTACAATACTATTACTAATTACTAGAACTAAATTTGCTTCTTAGCACTAATAATAAATTTTGTACTAATAAATACTTTGAGTAATAGCAGCAAGTATCAATTCAGCAGGTTCCTTTTCCACAGTGGATGGGTCAGATGCTATGTCTGCCACATGTTCAAAATCTTCTTTAGGAATATTTAATATATCCGCCATCAATAATTGCTTTTCGCGCAGAGCTTGTTTAATTATTTCATCCTTACGCCTCAGACATTCTGAAAAGTTTCAAATACGTTCATAATTTATTTTTGCTATTATATAAAAATTTGTTTTGTTATCACGCAAATTGTATCTCATTTCAGTAAAATCACAATATTGCGCAAATTCTATGATAGAGTCAATATTAAAATTATTAATTATTATACGGAATATGTACTATTTTAATTAATCCAGTTAATTTTCTCTGGAACTATTGATAACGCAAAAAATGTTTCAAATGAAATGTGACGCATTTTAATCACGTTTTTTTTTTAGATGGAGGCGCCAAAAATATATGAAGTTGTAACGATGCACTCCCGAAGTGCATCGTTCCCGGCTGACCGAATATCGTCGTAACTAGGAAAACTCGCATACGACGATGAGATATATCTAAATCTTTTCAAAAACCAAAACATAAATTGATAGATCAACAAACAGCGCATCGTACGAGACCGAATTACTTATCTACTAAAAACTGATTTTCGCAACGTCCGCAGAAAACACTGACCGTCGAAGAAAACTGGGAAATGCCGACGATCTAACAACGCAGTATAAAATATTCGATTGTGATTAAAAAGATCTTCCGTTCCCGATCATAATCCCGAGCGAGCCAGCACTTGAAATCCGAGCCACGACCATCATTTCTTTATATTTTAATATTTGATACATGCAATAATATCAAAGATATATAAAAGCCAAAGGTTTTAGACTGGTTAGTCAATCTATCACAGTTAATCAGATTTGACAACAATACGATTAAATGTATTTGCTCTCGTCAAGAGTGTTTTTCTCATATCAGAGCAATGAAGGATTAAATAATTATAAATAATTATTGCTTAAGATTAAAATTAAATTATGATAAAATAAATTAGAATTAGTACTTTTGAAGATTTAACAGGTATTTTCCTCAGAGATGTCAAAAGGTTTGCGTATTATCACAATGGCGTAATCTATTGCTAACATCAATATAAATATGGAAATGCCTTTTATTGAACCGACACACGTTATTAGTATGTAACAATTTATTATTTCTTAATTCTACAGTATACGTTTCGACCTCTGAATATTGGATTATCTTCTAGTACTATAAGTTACAATTAATAGAATAAATTTATAAATATACAATATTTATATATAAGTGATTCTTATAAAGCGCGTATTATGAACAATTATAAGGATGCTTTTTCATGCTGATGCTCTGTCAGCTCGATAAAAAGCATTATCATTTATATTGATTTATTCTTCTTAAGCCTCTTATTGTTAATACATTTATTAATGCTAACATTTTGTGAACCTTGCTGTTCATGTCATCAGTGCGAGAAGTGCACTGACACAGTATCAGTGCGCTTTGATGAAGTAAACGGCAAGATTCACGAAATGTTGGCAATAGTTCACAACAAAGCGGTAGCTCGCAAACTCTTTGGCATAAATTAAAATGATTAAAGAAACATATTTTACCTATTGGCGTAAGAATCGGTTCTGCGACGTGTACTGGTGGTGCTTCCACATGAACTTCCAATGGATCTATTAATGATAGTTGAGTACACGTGACCATTCGTAGAGATTCTGTCATACCTATGTGTATCAAAGAATCAATTAGCAACGTTAATAATGTTTTTTATTTTCTATAGATTCTAGAAAATTAATTTATTCAAAATTATTAAACATATTATTAAAACATTAACAAATTATTATTAATTTTTTTATAAATAACTACATACAGAGTGCCTCAGAATAACCTCCAAATATTTTGTGTGCTGATACAGCGGACTAAACTGAGTCGAAAAGTTCTCTATCATTTTGCAATTTTCGCAATAGGTAATAAGATATTAATTACTAAATATCACTAAATATTGATCTTCAATAATTTTTAACTCAAATTCTATCAAATTTACAGAAAACACCGCAAGAGGTAAAAACTATTTATTTTCTTCTCATAAAACTCCAAGAATTTTTTCATAGTTTTCTATTAATTTTTTAATATAGCAATTTTCTTATTAGCAATTACTATTTTTACTAACATGAGAAAATGTGGTACTAAAAAATTTTGAAAAAATTCTCAAAACTCTATGAAAAGAAAATAAACAATTTTTATCACTTGCTTTTCTATAAAATTGATAATATTGGAGTTAAAAAATTATTGAAAACCAATATTTGGCAATTTTAATCAATTAATATCAATTAATATGTTAATTATTGCGAACATTGCAAAATGGTAGAAGACTTTTCGACTCAGTTTAGTCCACTGTACCAATACACGAAATATTTAGTAGTCATCATTCTGGGAATACTCGTATACATAAGGCGTATATATAGGGTGCAGAAAAAGTACCGAAGCCCTTAAACATTTTACAAAGTAAGCATTCTGAGAGAAATGTTTCATACAAAAGTTGTAGAGTTCAAAAATAATCTATTTCCTGATTTGATCAGTTTGAATGATACCGTCAAGGTCAGGTTAAAGTCACATCAATTTTTGTCACAACAATTTTTTTTATAAAACATCCTATTTTTTATTCCAGAATCTGATGTCAAGAACTTTTCAAAATGTCACAATAAAGTTATTCTTCATTAAGTACTTTTTGTGTTATAAAGCTTTAAAACAATATTACAGTACTACCAACATCAACATTATTTAAGGTGTAGGGAGACCATATGTCCGGCCCAGATACAATATGTATCTTTTTTTTCAGGCGTTTGGGGACATCCGGCCGGAGTTTTCAATGTGTTCGAAATGTACTCATTTTGTGATTATGGTATAATTACCAGTTCTAACCTTAATAAACTGGAACATTCCTAATTTAAAAGTAGTAAAGTAAAAAAGAAAAGAGGACATTTTAGGCTAAATTATAGAACAAAATAAGTTATTTGAACTCAAAAGTAGAAAAAAAAGAGTACATTTAATAGTCCTAAGAACATAAAAACATGTTAATATTGGCCAAAAAATAGATTTAACATAATATTGTATAATACGTACCTAATAATTTTCAAATTTTTTTATCATAGATACATGGACCTAGTTTACACCGGAAGTTCGATCCGAATCGAAATGTAATCAACCAACTGCAGTTGAGCATTCCCTTGTCATTCGACTGTAACAGGGAATGCTCGACTGTAGTGGTTTTTGCATTCTAATCCGGATCGAACTCTCGGTGTAAACTAGGTCATAGGCTGTGTTCTAAAATTTACTGCCAGTACTGAAAGTCTGCACGTGACATAAATTAACTTGCGACCGAGGCGACATTCCGTCCGTTTTCATTTCGAAGAAACTTCTTACGGAACGGAATTGTAGTGATCTCAAAATTTCTAGTAACAAATCCGTTCCGTCGTTCCGATTCCGTGTACATGGGACAGCACTCATAAGTTGCGTTCTAATTGTCCGTTATTGTCGATACAACACTACACTATACTTCACTCGCTTGCATTACATCAATTATATCAATGCATACTAAAAGCTATTTCATGGAATTAGTGAAGTTAAATGTAAAAGTAGTTGAGTTTAGCCTCTACACCTCCGATAAAATTCATTCGACTCGTTTTTACACAAGATGAAGGAATTTGAAAAATAAAGTATTGCTCTGTCCCGTGATGGACCGAGATATTAATCGTTCAAGTGACAACTATTCCGGTTAGGAAATGTCACATCGGTGGCATAGAGATAGACATGAGAACATGAGGCTATAATAGGTATTATCTGCTTCAATATTACACAAATTCTTTGCTTTAAAAATAAATTCTCTGCTTTAAAAATACAAATTTTCTGTTTTAAAAACACAAATTTTTTGTTTTAAAAACCCTGGCAGCAAAGCCTGCGGAAACAAATTTTGAGCAGGGCTTGCTCCAATTTTTGATTACAAAAAAGTAATAAATTATACCCAGAGTTGGTATTATTTGACATGATCAGCAAATTGCTGTCAGAAATATGACAAAGCCTGCTAGATATGCTTTGCCAGCAGATTAGTAGAAACTGAATAAGGTCCTGCATAATCTGATTGAGAATAGAATCACTTAAATCAAGAAACAAACTTTGCTCGATTTCTGCAATCAATCTGCTGGCAGTCTGTCAGCAGGCTTTATCGACAAATCCATAACCAAATGCGGACACAGATGATTATAGTTTTATTAAAATTAATGTAAAATTTGATCGAGTTTGATGCCAATTTGATCCCAAATTGCTAACATTTTGCTATTAGGGAACATATACTATATGTATAAATTCTTTTCTATATAAATTTGTTTTTACAGTAGAGAATTTATTTTGATTAAATATTTGTCTGCTTAAAAATACAAATTCTCTGCTTTCAAAATAAATTCTTTGCTGTAAAAACAAAAAAAAAATATAAAAAGTAATTTGTTTTTAAAATAGAAAATTTTTGTTTATAAAACAGAGAATTTATGTAACCCTTGTGTAATGCCATCGATGGCAGATTTTCTAATCTAAATATCTGTCAAATTCAACAATTAATACTTCGGTTCGTGAGATGATACGTTTTTCTGCCAAATTCATTCATTTTGTATAAAAACGCGTCGAATAATTTTATCAACATCGGAAGTGAGGAGGCTAAACTCAACAATTACCATAAAAGTATATGAATGTAACCACAATAATGTACATTGATTACTCAGTAATGATATTTATAAATGTATTTGTATTTATGTGCAAACTATGAAGTTTATAAATAAATAAATTAAAATCAGTTATGACACATGTCTTTTATACGCAAAACAATTTTCAGGGAATGTATTTTACACATATTAATCCCAGTAAAGCTCTTTAAATTAATTCTAAGCGAAAATAAATGTTCTGTTTTTGCTGTAGAATTAATTCCAAGATTTTTTCTGGGAATAGTATGTTCAAAAAGCATTAAATTAAGTTAGGATAATGTATAGCAATATAACAATCACATTCTAGTTTTATAATAACAATAACGCAGCGAATTATGAAACTGTTATATGACTATTATATAACATCTTAAGTTACATGTCATATTTATATTACGTAGCTGCAATGATTCGTGAGTGGAAAATTATAACTAATGTAAACGTAGAATGTTATGAACATGATGTATTATCTGTTACATTCCGTTATATGGAAGCAATATAATAGTTATATATTTGTATTTGTTAGGATGAATTGTAAAAAAAGGCTTTAGAGAATAAAAAGGTTTGCTCAGAGGTCTTTCTTGACTCTTTTGACAAAGAATTATGGCAAGAAGGCCTAACAGGATTTATATTTACCATTTATATTTGGATTTATATTTGGATTTATATTTGGATTTATATTTGGTGGACTTTCTGCAATAGGCTATTATATATTACTCCGTGTCCTTAATAGGGAGCAAGAGCTACTAACTGCGAAACGCGAAATATAAAGCGGTTTTCATAGTCCGTTATCTTATTTTAAAACTGTAATGTCTTAAGATGCTAATACAGTCCTCGGATTGACTTACGATATTTTAAGTTGGATCTACAATAGGTGTATTAAGTCTTAAGTCGTAAGAAATTGATCAACTGCTGTCAAATGCGAGGAGAATAATTGATTGTGATTCGTTCATTCCTTATGACTTAAGGTTTAAAAATCTATTGTAGATCCTGTACTTAAGAGTTAGTAATAAGTCTTAAATGCAAGAATCGACTATAAATATGGACTTGCTTTGTGTCATGAAATTGTACTGAATCTTCCTTGTTTGATACACTTTATAATGCATCTTAAATTCTCTTTTTATAGAAAGAGAAACATAAAGTGTATTAAACAAGAAAAGATTCATTTGAAGAATTAAACATTTCTTGAAGAGTATTTATTATTTAATGGTAATCATCGACAATTTTGTCTTTTTTCGATTGATTCTGATTTCGAAATGATTCAAATTTTGGGATTCGAAGGAATTTTGAATTTGTTCCCATTTATTAGTAACGCATTTTACATTACATCTAAAAAACAAATTATAGCCATTTAATGAACAAACATTCTTATACAATTAATAATAAAATGACACAGAAATTTATTTGTTACAGACAAATTTCACAATAAATTTCTATGTTCATTTTATTATTAATTGTAAAAACGATTGTTCATCAAATGGCTACAATTTGTTTTTTGTATCTCATCAAATGATTGAGATAATGGTGAAATTGTTTGTTCTATTTGATAAACATGTTTGGCAACAAGTTTACGATATAATGTGCAAATATAGGATTGCTCACCAGCATCTCTAAATTTCTGTAAATGCTCTTTAGGAAAAGGACGCAAATCTCTTTGACTTTTGCTATCTAGAAAATAATTATTTTGAAAGTTAGATTATCAAAAGTCAGACTCCAATTCGTATTTCAAATAAATTTTAGTACTTAGGACTTAGTAGAAGGTTGAGAGAGTCGAAATACTTCTTATTCTTCACATATTTAGATTTAGATGCCATATTAGTTTCTTTTTAAAAAACAGAATTTTTATTAAGAATTATTTGTAACTGTTGTGTGTTTTCTCCGTGTCTAGATCCATTCTTGGAATGCCAACGTTTCGTGAGCCTTGTCGTCCACTTCATCAGGGCGAGGAGCAGCCTGATATTGAGCTGTTCCTCTAGGCCTTTTCTTTTCATATTACGCTGCTTGTTTGAGTGGGGGTAGATGGAAAGAGGGGGAGGGGTGGGAGAAGAGGTGGTGGAATTTAGTTGATCTTCAATAATCGGAAGAATGATCTTCCATATTTTATTTATGTTGTGGCCATTATCTCTATTTAGATTATTTTTGTATCTCTATAGCTTCTCTATATTTTCTTGGAAAGTATGATGTAACATTGGTTGTCGTGGCTATCATCGCTTTATCAAACAGTATTTGATGTCCTATTTCGATGTTGTGTTCTGATAATGCTGATTGCGTGGCGTGTTTTACCCAATAAACATGCAAACAAGACAAAGGTCTCTGATATATAACCAGATAGGATCCTATCTATTCTCCCATATGTCAAAGAAACAACAGATCGGATTGGCAGGATATTAAACAAACACAATATCCAAACTATCTTCAAATCACCCAAAAAGATAGGACAAATCTTAAGAAATCCTAAAGATCAACCTTCATTCAGAAGTACAAAATACCTTGTTCCTGCGGACAAGTATACATTGGAGAAACCAGGAGAATGGTCAACCTACAGATAAAAAATACCAACGTGATGGCAGGCTAAAACGCAGTCGGCATTATCAGAACACAACATCGAAACAGGACATCAAATACTGTTTGACAAAACGACTACAATAGCCAACATTATATCATACTTTCCAAGAAAGTATAGAGAAGCCATAAAAATACGAAAACTCCCCAACAATCTAAACAAAATGGCTACAACATAAATAAAATATGGAAGACCATTCTCCCGTTTATTGAAAACCAACCAAATTCCACCACCTCTTCTCCCACTCCCCTCTTCCCACCTACAAGCCCCTCCCTCACTCCTACAAGCAGCGTAATATAAAAAGGAAAGACCTGGAGAAACAGCTCAGTATCAGGCTGCTCTTCGCCCTGATGAAGTGGACGGCAAGACTCACGAAATATTGGCATTCCAAGAATGAATCTAGACATGGAGAAAACCCTCGAAACACACAACAGTTATATAGCAAGCACCCGTGGAAGTCTCAAGAATATAATTATTATTTGATTGCTTTAGCGTATATTTTTTTCTGTTGCAACTATAATATAATATAATGAAAGAAGAATGTCGTGTTTCGCAATATCAGAAAATGTTGCGCGATAAATCAACGCCAAAGTATTCCGCCAATGTTGAATCTCGCGGAAGCTTTCATCTTTGATTTTAAACTCGATTCGTTTGTGTTGTAATGCAAAACAATCGTGAACATGAATTTATTGCGAGTATCACATATTTATCATTGAAAATACCGAGAGTATCAAAAGAGCGATTAGGAGCTATAGGAGCGGCATCGCCACAGCAGGTGACGCGTGAAGTTAGTCGCGCATTCTTCGTAATTAGGAACACGTGAGGAAATTTTATCAACTTTCCAATTATATCAGTGGGCATCTCAGTCAATCAACAATGTCGATTTTATTTATATTTATGGACAATGAATGTATGATAAAAGAATGAAATTTTTAGATACTCGATTTTCTCGAATGGTTAGAATTAAAGGAACTCAGAGTTTTTTTATACGATTATTCCTATAATTAGTCAATTAGGATTTGCTGAAGCGAAAGTTATTTCAACATCACTGCTTTTATAAAATTTAAATCAATCGAGACTATTTTTGTTGAAAAGTAGAAAATTTTTTACATAAGAAATTGTTACATTGATATTTTTTTTAATATTTACTGTGGGGTAAAAAAAATCGATAAAATTGATATTTTCAAAGTCGGAGGAATTATAATTAGTATCACGGCTAAACGGTTCGCTTTAAAGAAAAACAAAAAATATGGATCGTCATATTTTTCTTTTTTTAAAAAACACTTTCAGGTATAAGCAATATCAAAGACAGTAAGTACAGACATATACTTGGTGCGAGATACTACTGTCATGTCTCTTGATTGTAAAAATAAGTTACAAAAAGGGAAAATAATTTAGTAATAAAATATTGGAATTTTTAAAGTGAACATTACTCGAAATCCTGTACTTTCAAGCTCTTTTCATGGGCCCTAATCGTTTAGGCAGAACAAACTCAAGAATTTTCTTTTGTTATTGAAAAATACAATACATTTAAATATAATATAATAAAATTCCAAAAGAGTAAACAGATTTCGGTGGAATGGCATATATCCAATATATATCCGAAGAAGTATATAAACATAGATGTATTAAAAGTCTGGAACGGTCGAATATCTCGAAAGCAAAGCATTTTTGAGAAAAATGTTTCAGATAAAAGTTGTAGGGTTTAAAAAAAATCTATTCACTAATCACATCCGCTTGATCTTGGGTGGCCTTGCTAAAGTCAAGTCAAGATCAAATTGATTTTTTAAAATAGAACACCCTATTTTTATGCCAGAATCTAATCGATCTAAGCTGATGTCAAGAGTTTTTCAAAACGCTATAAGAAAATATTTTTTCATTAAGTATTTTTGAGTTATGCTTGAAAGTTACACTATCACCGGCATTAGCATTACACAAGCTATCCGATCGATGGTTAAAATCAAGATAGTCCAACTCCCCTCTTATAAAATGTTGCCAGCAGATGTGGCGCCTCTATAGGCTGAGAAATAGAACTACATAGCCAAAAATTCAAAATAGCATCAGTTTGAACAGATATAATATATTATATTAAATATTCAAAAGGTTTTAGCCATCGGTCGGACACCTTGCGTAATGCTAATGCCGGCGATACCTTCAGTCTTATAATTCAAAATATACTTAATGAAAAATAACTTTATTATAGTGTTTTGAAAAACTCTTGACATCAGCTATTAGATTCTAGCATCAAAAATATAGTATCCCATTAAAAAAAATCAATTTGACCTTGACCTGACCTTGACGTCACCCCAAGTAAAGCGGGATCAGTAAATAGATCTTTTTAACTTCTACAACTTTTGTCTAAAACATTTTTTTCAAAAATGCTTTGCTTTCGAGATATTAGACCGTTTCCAGACTCTGTATATAAATTAACTCAACATTAATTTTTAATTAACCGTTTAATTTTTAATTAATATCTTTGTAAGCTAGTGAATACATGTTTCCTTTTCTTTAAATTATTTTTAAGATCGATAAGCGATTTAAAAAATCCAGTTTCAAAATCCAGTCATTATTTTAAATTATTTTTTTAGCAATTAAGGATACATTTTGTAAGACATTGTTAACGCTGTTTTGTAATCCTATTTTTATTTTGTCTAATGAATGTTAAAACTATAATAAATTAGCGTTAAATAAACATAGCCCTATGTTTGATGTCGCAGTTTTTCACTAATTTTCACGTGACATTACAGTAACTAATAATTACAGTAACTTTTAAACGATATTGTAAATCGTTTAAAAGTTAAAACATTTTAAAACATACATATTAATATTCTTAAAATCTATCTTTTAAGTAAATTTCAATCAACTTGTTATTATTTTTAACGATAGGCAATACAACTTTAATTTATAATATCATGTTTTCAGCTTCAGTCTATGAAGATTACATTTCAAGACTGACAATATATCGCGGTGAGTAATCGCCGCATAATTTGAATTAGACATTGTAAAAATTCACATAATATATTATTTTCAAGATTTGCCTTGATTGAATATGGCCTTCTTCATTTATTTCAAATAATAAGTGTAAAAAGTTTTTTGGAAAATTTGATTTAAATTATTGCATCACAAAATAAACTTATGATATCTACATAATAAATATAGCAATTTTCAACCTGTTGTTGACGACTCCGCAGTTGATTGTATCCGCTGTTGTGTATATTCAGTTGTAGGAGTTCCCGTGATGGTAGTGGTTTCCGGCATTTCTTCGTCATGCTCTTGCATGCCGGCAGTAGTTTGTCCAAGATCCCTCAATTCTCGATCTTCCGGCTGGTCTTTTTCGACATTTATACTATCCGTTTCTATTCCGGAAGGCGATGCATCTTCCATCGAATGCATTGGCTCCTCCGCTAGTGTAGCGGATGGCGTTGATCTTCTGTCCTGACGATCACGCGCTTTATAAGCCTCCACAGCTTCGGAGATGTGTTTGCACCAGAGTTTTCGTTCTGCCGAAGATGGTGCCACTAAATTATACATCTGCGCTCCATTTTCTGAAGTGTTAACAAGATAGAGGGAATCTTTCTCAGCGGCGTTGTGACGCACTAGTACAGTGGATAACTTCACAATCGGACTCAGCACGGAATTTCCCGCCTGATTGGTCGTATTGATAAACTTAAGCAGATATTTATCATCTTGCCGATGCAAAAAAAAGATTGTATCGTCGAGCAGTACTACATGCAGATCGACTGGTTTCGGCACTGAACGATTCGGTATCGATCGATTCGGCTCAGTACGCCGCCACTGCAGCGGTCCTTCATAAATCAATTTGCGCTTTGTAATATCAAGATTCTTGAATTCTTGCACCATCGGATGATCAAATTTATCAAAGGCTGATCGATCGATCGTTCGTTGAATCTCTGTAAGTCGTTGGTGATCCTCGGCCTCCTTCACCGCCTGATTTACGCGACTTAGTATCTCTTTACTACGCTCGAGGCTACGCAATATAGCTGCTTTTTCTTTTTCATTATTGTTCGGCGTGTACTTGGCGAGATTTTCAAAGAGCAACGGGTACTTTGTGAGTCGCAGCATGCCAGTTAATATATGATCTTTCAACTGAAGCCGGCGGCATAACGGATTTGCTTCTACGTCGTTCAGGAAGGCATTTAACTTAGAATCTTTACGCCGACGATCGCGCAGAGCATCTAAAGCAACTTGCTGCTTAGCACAATAAGTCGACGCAGCCTTTTCAAAGATCTCACCAGCTTCACCGTCGAACATCTCCAACAGAAGTTCACCTACATCACTCACGCATGGATTTTCCTTTTTCTTTCGTTTCATCGCTTGATTAAAGTGTGAATGTATCATCAACATTTCATCCAGATTAGAGAAAAGCAATTGAATCTGATCTAACGGTAGTACTTGGGACTCCAACAGAGGTTTGTGGAAGACGTGTGAAAGCACTTTTAACGCGCGGACATGAGAGCGCTCGGTGTGAAATAGCTCTGAAAAAAAAGATATGGATAAAAATTTAAATTTAATAATACAAAATGAAAGAAATTATTTATTATTAAATTTGAATAATAACAATAGCACTCGAATACAATTTGAAAAAATACACTAAGAAAAATGATTCGTTTATATTGACAAGATGTATATGAATAAATGCATTTTTGATTTTTAAAACAGAATTTCTGATTATTATACCAGAACTTGAAATTTTGACAACTAAAACAATTGATAGATTATACTATATTATATATACATATATATTAGGTTAAGAAAAAAGTCCTTTTACAAGTAAAAAGTCCTTTTTCCATCAATATCTTCGTTAAAAATAATCGAAATTTAAATTTAAAAAAAGAATTTTAAAACTTGAAATCTCTACTTTTGAATGGTTGTTCTACTTTTTGAATTTATATGGGTTTGTAATTTTTACATACAGAAAACTACAAGCTAAAAAAATAAAAATTTACTTTTCACTTTGTAGGTCTATAGCGTGCTAAAAAAATTTGAGCAAATTTTCGACTATCTATCGTGAAAGCTTGAAAATTTTCAGTAAACAAAATTTTATTTTATCATTATAATTTCATTATTGTTGGAACTGTTGTCCTCATTGTCGGATACATGACTGTGCCCGCTTATTTATCGATGCCTGAACCCTCGATAATATATTATGATTTTTTTAATTATTCGCGTGATTAATTGCCTGTATTAAGACGTAACAACATACGTATGCAGCGGATTTTCAAACTCAATTTTCTCGAAAACTAAGCAAAAAATCGAAAAATTTTATTCTATATATTTTTTTTACTTTTTATAAGGAAGTACGTGCCGTTTTTATACGTTATTTGGCTGGATCCTGTATCTGCAGCGTGTCTCACAATTTTTGATAAAGCGCTCTTGTGTAGATAGAGCGGATTAAACTGAGTCGAAAAGTTCTCTACGATTTTGCAATTTTCGCAAATTTTGATTAATGAGATATTTTCTAAAAATAGCTAAATTCGCCTGACCTAAAGCCAAATATAAGTGCACGACGAAATAAGACATTCAAGTGACATTGACATTAACGTATCTAGCGACAAACGCGACATTGACATTAACGTATCTAGCGGCAAACGCGCATCTCACTGGGCGATCTTATTTCACCACTTGCTTGGCGGTAGGCCGGGCGAATTTGGCTATTTCTATAAATTAATATCTGATTAACATTTTCGAAAATTGCAAAATGGTACAGAACTTTTCGACTCAGTAATCCGCTCTATCTACACAAAAGGGCATTGTCAAAATTGCGGGACACTCTGATGTATATGTATATATATACATAGGGTCATCTAAAAAGTATCCGCGGTTTTTTGTCACTAGATGTGTGTTGATGGTCATATATCTAGTGACAAAGTACCGCGGATACTTTTTAGATGACCCAATATATATATTCAATGTTTTTCAAAATTCGCGCCCGCGAAATAGACGTGATATTTTATACTAAAAGAAACAATTTTTTCTTTTTGCAAAATTGCATCTAAGTAGTTTTTGCAGGAGAACAGATTGAAGTTAACGAGTAAGCGCTCTATGTGGCGCTCAGGGCCTACTTATTCATTTGTACCTAATCCTTGACTGATATTCATGAGTAATATTTTAAGATACTAATACGACTTTGTGTTATTACTAATTATGCAGAGATACGGACCGTTCTCCTTGATTTTGAAATATATTGTCAAGATCATTAGTGACCTTCGACACCTTTCGTCGCTCATTATTCATTAAAAAATTATTAACAAAAAAATTTGAAAAATAACGTTTTATTTCTGCTATATATAATATTAAAAACTATTCCATATCCTTTCTTGCCTACATAATGGCTTTCTACGCGAAGAGAGGTCCACCCCATCATCCCCTTGCCGAGGAGCGCGCAACTTTCTACGCGAAACGAATTTCATTTCACCTTCCCCCCCCCCTGCCAAGGGGCGCACGACTTTTCATGCAAAGCGAGAATCTCTCCCTTATCTAGATCTGGCAATTATAGTGTGGAATCGTGAAGCACTCCAAAAATTTAGCTTAGTCCACAACAAAGAAATCCAAGAATTGAATTAAAAATCAACTATAAAAATCAACTTTTTAAAATGCGCGGATGTCGACTGATATTTGTAATGACAGTACAACTGTGCGCATAGCGCAGGGATCATTTATATTGGTCATAACCATGTGCAGTATGCCGTTATCTGTAGACAAAATTTGACTAATCACTAGATTTGACTAGTCGAGCATTCCTCTCTACAATTGAATGAGAGAGGAATACTCGAATGTGATTAATCAATTCTTACAAATTACGGAATACAATTACGGCCAATATAAATGATCCCTTACCGACTGTAAAAAAGAGGTCGGCAACAAAAAGCACAAAATAAATAAAAAATAAAAAACAAGATCATCATTTTGTAATGTCCCTCCCCTTCTTTTTGTCAGTCCATCCATAGGTGAGGTAAGTTGCCAGTCCTGTCCTCAAACGAGGAAAGATAAAATAGTTTTTACTATTATACATAGCAAAAATAAGACGTTATTTTTTCCAAACTTTTTTTATTAAGAACTTTTTAATGAATAATGAGCGACGACTAAAATTTGTAAGTCACTCAGGGTGATAACCTTGACATCATATGTCAAAGTCAATGTCATCGGAGAGTGATCCATATCTCTGCATACCTAATTACCTTATGATTACTTTATGATTGCTCAAATCTATACTTAAGATAGTTTTAAATTGTAAGAATCAGCTATGCATACTGGACCATAATCTTCTTCCACATTGTATTACTTAAGTGCTTGAAAAGGTAGTAGAATTACTTTCATTTTTGTACGTAATAATAAAAAAATAAATAAAAGACTTGTCTAATTTCGTAGATCTATCAGAAAGTAAAGACAAATGTAAATAATAATATACTTGATGAGCTTTGTTGAACGTTCTTGTTATCACGTCTTGTAGTTCGCAGGCACGAATTTTGAAACATCCTGTATATACACATAAAAAATTTGTTAAATTTTTTTTGTTCGATTTACAAAATTCCTATAGTTATATTCACTAGACATACATAACATTATCAGAATTGTGGTTAACATTAACTTCAACACACCCTAGCGATTCTATAATACTATTGTGTAAGTCGAGCAAAGGCCAAGACGAACACGAATTGTTTAAATTGTTCTATGTCATGTTTTTGCAGTATCTTGTAGTGAAATGAAACGATTACTAGATTAATTGGATCAATTAAAAATAAATCGTGGTACTATGATCTGCCTGATTATAAGTAGATCGAAAGAAAATTTAAGAAAAAGGAGAAATAGAAGTAGTATATGTAGCATGGAAGAATGTTTTCTCTTCTTTGCTAATGTAATTAAATATACACGTTTTGAAGGTTATTGTTAATTTGATTATTGTTAATTTTTGTAGTTATAAGTATAGTTTGCTTTGTAAATACCTTATAGTATATAGATTATGGTACATTCCATTTCACGTATAATGCACATAATACATCATTTATCCTTATTTATATTCAAAAAATACAATATAAGGATAAATAATGCATGAATAAATTATGCATGAAACAGAATACATCCATAGTTAATAAGAAGACATTATTTGATCAACCAAAAATTCTATAGGTACAGTTTACAAAAAAAATTTATTCGATCGACAAGAAATTCTGATAGATTTAACTTAGGAGAAATTACTCATACTCATCGGTAATGCTAAAAAGAATTTTAATTCGTCTGTTTTTGAACAGACACTACTAGTTAAAGGTTTCAATTAATCCTGATTCTTTGTACAGTGTGCATGTAATAAAAATTATTCTGTTCATTGAAATCAAATAAATTCTCTATTTTTAACTTACTCTTTAATTTCTTATTGTAGAAGTATAAAATAATAAACAATTTATCGATTTTTTACTGTAGAATCACCAATGTAATTCTTATAAGTTACAACAAATTAATTACTCACCATTAATAACATCTTGTCTTTTTTTCTCAGAGTTGCTGAGCTGAGCGAGAACGTCTTCGGTAACAGCCTGACTCCAATCCGGCGGATCAGCCTCAACATCAACATCACTGTCCCACGAAGTTGACGCGTTTGCCGATGAAGTTGGGTGTACCTGTTCCAAACTGGTACTAGGACTATCCAGACTCCTCGTTGAGAGACTGCTATTCGATGAACTACCAGCCGAGTTCCCAGGAAATATACCGGAAGGCTCACAATCACTGGAACCAACTCTACAGTCAATTGTTAGCAATTTATATATTTTACTACTTACTAACTGTAAGGGCCATTACACACAAAATATTACATAAGCTGCTTAACTATAGCATAAGGTTTTTAGACCGATAAATACCTTATTTAAATCAACACGGCATCTTTATGTTAGATGCTTATTGGTTTAGTAACCTTATGCTACGGTTACGCAGCTTATGTCATTTTGTTTGTAATGGTAATACAAACCTAATACTGATTAATCCTAATACTTCTACTGCGTTCGGTTTCGATGTTTTCAATGATTCTATCTTATAATATTTTATGTTTAATTAACGATAAAGATAGAATGATGATTATAAACGATTAAAGCGCGTAAGCGGCAAAACCGAACGCAGCCCCATGTCTTAAAACTATCGGATTTCCTTTTAAAACCGCATTCTTTGCAATAATCTAAAAAAAATCCTAATATGAAAATGTTGAGGCTACAATATCTTTAGATCAGTATTAATTAAAGTTCTCAAATTATAAAGCTAGCATTTCGCAACATTTCAGACATAATGATATAAATAGTAAAGGAATATTATCACGAGAACCCTCTTAACAACGCTAAGATTATCGTACAAATATACAATGATATTTTTATTAAGAAATTGTTCCTGCGCCTATACGGAATCTGTGCATTATATACCCATAGATAATATCGACCGGATCATATCACCGGAAATATTCAATAGTGAGACATTACATGTGTCAAATGTGAAAATAGGTTCATAATCATATTTATTTGCCTTGTATGATAAACATTTTTGTAGTAATATCAGCAAAAAAAATTATATTTTGACGTGGAAAGAATTCAATATGTTCATAAAGTAAGGTTAGTTGAAATATGTCGAATTGAAATGTGATGAACGATATCGGATGAAATATAACGAATTATCAAACCTACACACACAACAAAATAAATTATAATTTGAAAAAGCGCCTTATACAAAACTGGATTTTAGTGTTTAATATTTTTAAATAAATTTTCCAAGCCTACAAACTGCGGACCTCTTATTGTCGGACTTTAAACGCAATCTTTAACTGAAACAAGAATAGAAATATAATTAAGAATATATTCCGAACGACGTTAATTTAGCTTCTCTTTTATATTAGCAGCCACTCCTGAGCAGTGCAAGTAATGAGATTTTAGCCCTCAGGCACCACAAGAACTTCTGTCCCTCTCCCACTAACAGCACATTAAGCTAACTTCGGCGCACAGCGAGCGAGACAGCAAACAAGAGTCTATCTTTCTCGTCTTCAGCAGCTTTCGGCACGTTGAGAGCTAACGAGACAGCGAGAGAATTCGTCCTTCTCACTCTGATCACTTGTTTTAAGTAACCGATAATGTTTTTTCACTAATCTCAACTACTCGGTGCATCAAGAAAGGAGAAGGAGATACTCCACATAATACAAATTCTAATAAATTGTAGATCAACTCTGGTGAAAATTTTCCACAGAATTTTTCATATAATTTTTTAGAATTTCTATATAATTTTATAACTTTTTCATATTTTTTATACGAATTGAAACACTTCTCAGAAACTCGACATCTTTTCTTAGAATTTTCCATATATGTTAATTATAAAATATCGTAAAATTTCTAAGATTTTTTGTAAGTATAATTTCAGATAAAATGTTATAATATATAATGTTATAATCTAAAAAATTTTAAAATATTTTTTAAAAATTATAGGATAAGAAATCTCAGAATATTTCAAAATTCACACATATGAAAAATTCTGAGAGAAGATGTGAACTTTCTGAATATTTTTGAGTATTTCTGAAAAATGTTCCAATTCATATAAAAATTATAAAAAAAATTTTCACCAGGGAAACGCATAATGTTCGAGATCAGAATGTTGGAGAATTCAAGTCGAGATCCCAAGTCTTGCGAGAAGCAGAGAATTTGTTTTTGAAGCAGAGAATTTCGCAGTATTTTATGGCTATGACAGATCTTGAATAGTAGTCGACTTTAATTATTATCTAATATCTCGGTTCACGAGGCAGATTTATTTTTACGCGAAAACGCATCAATTGAGTGTATTTTTGTCAAAATTTGAGATGATTGGTATTGTATATCTTTATCAAAAGATAAACAATTAAAACAAATATTTACGATAAATTGAATGGCTATTATGTCAAATTTCGCTTCGCGGCAAACATTGCTGCGATGTGTATGCAGGAACCAAGAGATATAACATTAAAATTCATGATACAGGAAAACTTAGGACATAAGACTTAAGCAGTAAGCGAATCAACCAATCACAATACAGACCGTCAGACATTCTTATACTATATTCGTATACTATAACATACGTAAGAATAGTGAATTCTCTATGTTGGCATCCTTGATCTGACTGCTAAATGATTGCTATGTTGTCAGTTGTGAGCATCTATAAGAGCGAAATTGTTTAGTTTCTATAGACTGTAGTATTTAAATAGAGGAAACTGATTGATGCGCCATATTGTTAGTTGTGCAGAACTATTATGCGCGATGGATGACCATTAACACCATTTATGACTGAGTGAATATACCGTTCTTACTTATATTGTCATATAACGTGAGCAGTAATCCAACATGTTGATTTCCTTACTGTTTAAATTTTATGCTTAAGTTTTTCTCTGTGCCATGGCCTTAAATCGCAGATAAGATTAAGTTAGGTTACCGCTGCAATTTTTTTTCACTAAGATATTCATTGGCGTAAGATCTCATCATGCGTGATTTCATCACATGATCTCGCGAGTCTCATCACCACATGCAGTCATAGACAGTCATAGATCGCTATTCATAGACCGTTCTTATTTTAAGACTGTCTTAATCTTCAGTACACACAACTTATTGCAAAGTAGAAAGGATTAATTGGATTATTTATGATTTTAATCATGAGTGCACCATAAAAAAATGATTTAAGTCAATTTTGTTGTTAATATCAGAAACAGACTTCTTCTTCTTCCTCGTTAATGACTCCCGCAATAAATGTGGCAAATACTAAATATAACAGTAAATTGTTAATATTTACTATAGAAGAACGATAGGATCACTTTTTTTTTTATTTATTTCTATTGAAATTAAAAAATTTTCGGTTAATGATTAATTTCCATAAAACTGAAAAATCACTTATTTTCACTTTGAAAAAAAAATATCATTTTTAGAACAAATCGTAAAAACGCTTATAGGTTTTTAAAATTCAACTCATTAGCTGTTGATTCATCACTAATACAATTTTTTTTCAATTATTTTTGACAAATAATGAGGTTTTCAAAAAAATTCGTTTTTTTCACATTTTTTTTCCTATCCCTTTTCACTTATTGCAAAATATCTTTTATGCTACGACATTTTAGACTAAAAAATTCTTTTTTTTTCAGTCTTCAAACAATAGATTGAAAAAAGTTAGTTAAAATCGATGCACTACAATCTGAGATACAATCAAAAGAAAACGTGGAGATATATATACTCGGATGTGGAGATAGGAACATTTTTGAAGTGTGTGTACTGAGAGTTAAGTAATGTCTTAGCTTAGATCAATAGATTTTTAAACCTTAAGCTATAAGAAATTGATGCATCATAGTCAATTAGATGCATCATAGTCTCCTCGCATTCGACTAATTGGTCAATTTTTTACAGTAAAATACCTATAGATCCAGACTTAGACTTTCTACAATAAGTCAACACCTAAACTTTAAACCTTAAGCTATAAAAATTGACCAATCATGATTGATTATTCTTCTCACATTCAACTGTAATCAAGTTAATTTTTTACAATTTAAGACTTAAAACTTAAGTAAGTCCGGATCTATAATAAATGTTTTAGCCGTAAGAAATTAACCAATTACAATCGAATGCGAAAAGAATAATTGACTATGATTCGTCCTTTTCTTATGGCTTTGAGTCTTAAGAACCTATTGTAGATCCGGATTAACAGCTTCTATAAAAAGCATTAAGATGCTACAATCTTCTGATTAGTTCGTAACATCTTAAGTCTATCTAAGATGAATATAAGAATTGACAATGAATACCGGCCATAAATTAATATAGCCGATAAAGTCCGAGAAAATCCGAGTCAGGATAGCGTTCATTTAACTTTTTCTTTAGGGTGGGAACATGAAAACTGAAAATTTTTTGCATGTATGTGTGTGTACATACGTACGTACATACGTACATACACACATACATACATACATACATACATACATACATACATACATAAAAATTTTCACTTTTTACGGTTCCGCCCTAAAGAAAAAATTACATGATCGCTACTCTGGCCATGCTCTCAAAATAATTAAGTTTCCATTGAGAATTTGAATTCCATCCAGGGTTGAATTGAGTGATATTGAAGTACAATCATGCAGCAAAGCTTCGCTGGTGAAGACTACCCATTCCCACTCGATTCGTGCGAAAATACGTAGCGAGCGAAGTTTCGCTCAAAATTCGATATTGTCCAACTATGAGCGAAGCAACACTAACTCTGGTTATGATCTACTTCAGTGCTCGCAAAGATTTGCACATTTCGGATTGATTCTGGCGAGCAACTCCCACCACCGTTCGGTGGCCGAGCCGCCCAGCGTTCACGTGACGCTCTGACTCAGAAGCGTTTCTATACCAGAAATATAATGGGAGTGCACCTTCTGCAAATTATTATTGAAACATATTTTTTACTAAATAATTTATTTCATAAAAATTTCTATTGTTAATTTATTCATTGTTCCTTAATGATGTACTTATATCTGGTACTTATATCTGGTACTGGTCTACTTGATTGACCAAATACTTCGAAGCATTTTTGATTGATCAGTTTTTTGAATTGTCTGTTCAATGATTTTTTATTTACAGTATAGTGGGAGTAATTTCATCAGCGAAACTTCGCTCTATGAAAAAGACTTCAGCGAAGAGCGCTAAACGCTAATTTCATTTTCGGCAGAGTGCACAGTGGAATAGAAATCCGAAAAAGTGGCCAAAACTCAGCTATTTTATATC